GTAGTTACAGTAAATTTCCAGTAGGTTATTCGCAAATGATTGTAATAATAGAAATCAGAATTTAGTTACATAATCTGTAGCATACAATGTTATGCAGTAAATCTGTTTCTTTAGGTGAACTCCGGCTAGTTTGATTCACTTATGAAATGCAATACTTCAAGTAAATATGATCGGAAGAAGAATCCTGTTTAAAGTAAACTATCTAATTTGTCAACAAACAGATTTTTCTTTCAGTTGATTAAGTAAGATTAGTGGGTTTTGTGTATTTTGTGACCAATTCAGGAATAACTTGTATGAATACAAACAAATGGTAATCATATAAAAGGTCCATTAACACTAACAATCAAAACAAAAATATCATGACAACAACTGAAAGGGAATATTACTGGCATATCCAAAATGCAAAATACAAAGCTATCAAACATGTTTGAAACTCAGTACACATATCAAATGTAATGAGGTCATAGTGAAGATTGATTTGACCCTTTCGATTTGAATGATAAGACAGTAATATCTTTATGTGGATATAAACATATAAACATATTTTGATGTTTTAGTGAAGTTTGAAATTCGGTCACAGACAGTTGGATACAATCCATCACTGCATTATATCTTTCTAATACTGTCCCGAATTATCATTGATTACATTAAGTTAATTGACTTGATATATGAGTATATTATAAGTAGCTTGATAAGTATTTTTTATGATATGATGAAATTAGCTATTAGATAGAATCTTAACAAGCTGTAAAGCATGCAATAACTTGAATTTCTGAACATATTTTAAGCAAGCGTAAAAGCAATGTTGCATTTAGAATTTCCAATAAATATTCTCTGTACTTTCTCATGTGATATCTGGTTGGCATAATGTCACTGTTTGGGATATTTTATCTTCACAAATAAATGAATTTCCTAAATTGTAGTATTGATTTTTAGATCTCTGTAACATACTTAACTGAAGTCAACAGAGCGATTGTAAAATGAAACTTACATCTTTTATTTGGTATGAATTGTTTTTACTTAATATTCAATAAATCCAAAAACAATCACTAAACAAAAATGTGACTATTTGATCGATAAAAAAATATATTTTTTTCAGTATTGACAAAATTATAGCAAACAAAAAAGTTAATTCTTATTCAAATTACTTAAAAATAACAGCTGCTTGCTTGTAAAAATTACACGAAATAAACTGAAAGTTAAAGATTACCACTGAAGAGAAAAATGTGTTTATCATATTATTTAATGGAAATTTGTCATATCAATGATGATTGTATGAGGAAACTTTGTTATATCCTGTTAGTTGTCAGCATTTAATGTCTGTCGCCCTATTATAATACGCTTGAAAGTGCAAAACCAGCACAATACGAACGACAAATTCAAGTGATCATTGATTCACTCTTCAAAACATGACAACGACCATAATTGAAAATACACTGATATTTATATTATTAAGAAAAAATTCGATAAATATTTATACAATTATAACGAAATTCTCATGTTGCATGTCATACTAATTAACTGCAACGAATATCATATCTTTTATGTGAATAACAAACTGAAATAAAAATCAAATGTTGAATTTGAAATTAAGCATCCTGCTGAAAATAAAAGTAAATATCACTATGAGTAGTCATTATACGTGAATTTAAAAACGGAAGTAATTAAAATGTTATTTGACTGTTCTTCATTAAATGTCAAATCCAAAGTTTTTTTATTTAGATTAAAAACTGAAATAAATGTTTATTTTTTGGTGGCTGAATACATATTTACATGTTGTTATTACTTTTTTTAATATATTCAATTAGTATACACTTATTAAGGCGTTAAATTGGTATGTAGACAACCAACGAACACTATTCGTTATCTAATAAATACATATTTTACAAAGGTAATTGATGATTCATGACTTTAGTAATAAACAAAAATTTTCATAACCCTAGATGTAAAATCGTACAATATTCTCACTACTGACTATCTTCATGAGGAAATTCTCGCAGTTATAATAAGAAGACGTAACCAGTGGAATTCACTCCTGTCAGGTATAGGCAGTAATTATCAAAGACAAATGGGTAAGGTCACGCGAAACTCCTAGATTGACCAGAGTTGGACATCACCACCTAAGGATGCCGGCTCACTGGTCCAGAGGTCAGGCGTTGGTGTGTAAGACTGGAGTTGTCAAAGTGCATTGCTGATCAGTCCCATACCAGGACGAAACGGCCGCCCACTGCTTCCAGATTTCTAACGGTGGTCTAACAATCATTGATGCATGACCTCAGTAATAAACAACGATCTCCATAACTATACATGAAAAAAAACCCGTATGTATTTTTCTTATTCAGATCTTTCAAGGAGAATTTCAGAGATCTACTTTGATTTTACCAATTACTAGTGATGATAACTTGAACACATTTATGAAATGATTGACTGCAGTTACTAAAAAAGATATTCAGTAGATATTACTAAATCATTATATACTTTATCTACTTTATCATTTAGTTTAACAATCATAATTCATGCTCACACTAAGCTTTAATAGAGCTAGTTTAGTACAAATAATACAGTTTATCTTGTGAACCGCTATCGATCTATTCTAATGGAAATAACATCGATATGAATCCTGTTTCAATGAGATGTTCCCCAAAGAAACAAGACACTTCTATAAAATCATCTGAATGTTTGGCAAAACATGTACAAAATCGACATCTACGGTCATGTTTAATTTGCTCTTAACTATTAAGTATGAAAGTTTATGTATTGAACACAAATAAGAGATAGATATCAGTGTGTTGGACTCAGATTTGTAAATTCATTTCCAACATGATGCAAAACAAACTTCTGCTGGTGTATTATATGAGTATACACTAGTGAATTAGTTGAAAAAACACCAGTGGAAATTATTTAATTAACATGTAAACACTAGTAATATCACTTATTTTAACCTAAAGTGTTGTAAACATTTATCGTCGAAACAAAGTTGTTGGAATATAATTTTCAATTGATACTTTGAAAAGTTAATGTGAGTATTATTTTAATATGTTTAAAATTCCATTAAAAAAATGAATCATAGTGTGTAGTATACATTATCATAAAATTTATTGGTGTATTGCATGATCCAACAAGGTGGACATTAATCCGAATTACTTAGAATTTATTATAACTTCAGCTAATGTTAGTTTATTTGAATTTTGAAATTCCCTTAAATTTATTCAATAATTTAAATAAGAAAAATTGAACACTATTGAGCATGTTATTGATATATCGGATGGTATGTGCCATGGAATTTATATTATTCAAATTCCGGTAACAAACTAAAGCACATTCTCAGTTTTGTAGAAGATTGAACATGATAATTATTAATTAGCATTATGTAATCACTTCTGATGTATATCAGGTTTATGAGGGTTTATTAGGGTTGACCTGAACTTGCTTCATCAAAATGATTGAATGTGAAAAACTAATCAAACAAGGGAACTCACTGAACTGATACAATATTCTAATATTAACAAAATCTAATAACCGATATTATGTGATATTAAATAGATTGTGTGAATGTTCTCGAGGCTACTAGTTAAACATGATAAGGGAAAAAGAGGCACGAATATAAACGACTAACTAACAGTACTAGTGATGTGTTGCATAACATATGCTTCAACAACTGCAAAGTCATTATTTTTACATTAACGGTATATATGGCATTTTATATGTTGGGATACTGTTTTCAGGCTATTTACTTATTCTTAATGATGTATACCATTGTGAATATTAGGACAACGCAAATAAGAAAATAATATTGTTTTCCATTAGATTGTCATCAAGTTTTACTCTGATATACATGAATATGTATATGAACTAATCAAGGCAATTTACGAGTCAATAATTACAATGAAAAAAATTACGTAACTACACATAATAGGCGAAACTATAAGTTGATAGTAAGAAGATAAGTGTACTGTTAATGGTGAGATCAATAAAATACAGTAACAAAAGTTTTTGTCAACAGTTCAACATTAGTAGTAGTAGGTCGAACGTGGATAGATAGATTTGAAATACTAATCACAAAACATTATATAACCATTACGTTACAAGAAGTGTGAAAATATTTAGATATTGAAGAATATAAACAGAAAGACACAAAAGAAATGACGAAAATAATACTAATTATAATAAAAAATAAAAATTTTTACCTTGCCGAAGAAGAGAGAGGGGTGTCAAAAATTTTCTTCTGAACACTAATTCGGGTTGAATATTCAGATTCCTACGATTCCTGCTGTATGTAGGAGAGGAGACAGAACGCCTTTGGGAAACGATAAAGTTATACGACAGATCACTTTGAAACGATTAAGTTTTGTCTATGTTATGACAGCTATTAATCAGATGTGCATATTTATATGAAACTACTTGTGAATTTCTGACTATATTATCTAAAGTCTGTATAGACAATAAACATTGACGTTTAATGTGTCCTTTCATAATATAAACTTTTAATAGTTGAAGTTTTTACATGATGCTCTGAATTAGTAATTTTCTAATGTAGATCTTATTAAGCAAATAGTTTATTTTTGAACGGATTGGCCATGTATAATTTTTATTGTACACATCTATATAATTACTAGTTTTCCTTGATATTGATTTGAAATATCTGAAATATTTTGTGTTAACATAGTTAGACGAGAAATGCAAATATTTGATAAGATTGACTATTCCGAGCTGACTGTCGACTTTACTACAAAGTAACCTATTATTGTTTTATTTTTTTATCAAATTCATATTTCAGATTCGTACATGAACAGTTACAGTATTCTTTCCCAGTGAAAATCATAATACTTAATCATTAAAGCTAACTAATTGAATAAAAATTTACATCATTTATATTCTGTAAAAAAATTTCTTTAACATTGTTTTTTCTGAACATAAAGACGAAAATTACTTTTAAGATTTTTTATTTTTTTTAAAATATGAAATGAAACAACATTCAATTATACATAAATATATATTTAGCTATATGTACATGTAAAAAGTTACCAACACTATTCATGATGATAGATATGAGAAAATGCATGTGCAATGCATTGGAAATTATTTACAAATTGAAATCGACAAACATCAAATCCTCTTCTTATTGAATTTCTCTGCAAGGCGAATGTAAACATGCAAATAAAATATATGTCTATCAACTCTTTCAGTGCAATAAGAACTGATCGACATTTATTTAGAATAAGATTAGATTCTTTTTCATTTTTTCCTCTCTATACAACTGTATCATTTTAAGCAATGCATCGGATGACCGCATTCATCACTGTTGAGTTCAACCAAATTGATACATATATGCATGTATTAATATATAAATAAATATTCGTTGTATCTCATTGAAAAGAAGATATTTACATACATTTAAACTTTTGACAAATTAGTACATGAATATCTGCACGAAAATTTGGATTCATAAATCCATAAATAATTGGATTAATTGCATTATTTATATAATATAAATAAAAAATTGGCAAATACAATGGAACATATTGAATAGCCATTAACATAGCCGGTATAAATGTGACAATATAAACAACTGCAACAACAAATAACATTGCAGCGGTTTTTAAATTTTGAAATGCAATATTATCTTTAATGATTTTCATGGAACGACGTGTTCTCTCTTCATTTATCATAAGATGTGTTTCATTATTGAATGTAATCGGTTGAACCGTAATGGTTTCTGTGTGTGGTGCATTGATTAAATTAGAACCGTTTATAGAAATTGATGAATTCGATTTGATTAGTTGTCCTTGTTGTGATCGATCGAATTTTTCCAATGTTTCCTTGTCACTAGATGTTTTATTTTTCATTTCAGATGTGTGGCATGATTTAAAAATAAATTTTTTCAATGTTTTCATACAGTTTGATGTGGAAGATACTGTGTTATCGATACATGGATCCAATTCAGAATGTGGCGATACATTTTCTTGGCTTGTTAATTTAATTTTCACAGAACTTTTATTTGTGTTTGTCGGGTGAAAATTAAAAGGATTTCTAATTACAAATTTACAATTGTTCTTTTTGTTAGTATGATTATGATTATTATTGTTTTTATTATTGTGTTTATCATCAGTTGTATTATTTTTGGCATGATGTTTATCTTGTTTTTTCACACCTTTTAATTCTAAACGTTTTCTAAAAACCTGATAATTTAAAAGAAAATAGTTTTTCTTTAAATAGTGCAACATAAGCACACAAAAAAATATTGTCAATTATTTTTTTACAGTTAATTGAAGGTAAGGTAATTTAAAAAAATGAACAAAAGTCCTGATTATCAGTATGAGCAAGTTTTGTCTTTGACTAACACAAATGTGTAAAAACACAAAACCTCCAAAACTCTGCCCGAAAATAACACAGTAATGTATTTTTATACTTTTATTTATCAATTTGTATGTAAGAATGAGTAACCATGATGTGTTATGTACAGTCGATTCATTGTCAGTGTGTCATATTTCTGTCTTTCTCCCTGAAAGCTTTAGTTCAATAGTTGTTATTCTGTTAACGTATTCACATTTTTCTCTTATAAGCTATAAAATAATACAACTTAACTCACCTTTATGATCTTCCTCATATCTTGTTCTCTAATATATTTAATTTTTATGTTCAAAAGTTCAACTCCAGTGTTCTTACTGTTATCGACTTACTAGGCTTTTTAAAAAAAATCTATTGACCGTTTTTTTTCACATTGAATTTCAAGTTTCATAAAGATTAAACTTTGTTTTAAATAAGTGTGCACTAAACTTGGCACTAAAACTTGCTTTGAAAATTAAACCATCATTCTTTAGGTCAGTATATCAGCTGAATGTCAAAATACCTTTCCTGCAAATTATTCATGTTGTTAAACATGAATCAAATAAACTTATTTCGAAATTTTGAAATCTTCGATTAAGTTTTGTTTAATTACTAGCAGTTTATAATAATGTGAAATAAAGTACTGCAAAGGTACTTTGAAACGTCGATCAGTTATGAATAGTTTTGACCAAAACATTACATTTATTCAATCAGAACGAATACGAAGTATAAATACTGTAATTACTCAAGAAATAAAGTCGTAATAAAATTCATTCAAGAATATGGTTTTATCATTTGAACTGATTTATTCTTTTAATAGGTTAGAGACCTAAATTCTACCAGCTCAGGATTACATCATTCTCGCATATTTTAAATAATTTCTCGATACTTTATTATATGCCGATGGTTTGTTTTATATTTGTTTGATTGGTTACACAATAAGTGTTTAAACTAAACTACCTTTGACAATGTTTACATAACTTCTCACCTGATCACAGTCTCATTTACGGGTTACTCTAACCACGGAATTAACTGTATCCGTGATAAGTGACATTTCAGTTTGTGTTGAGAAAAACAAACACTTACTGGAACATTAGTTCGTTTTATTGATTAAAATTCTATCGATTAATTTCATCAGAAAAAAGGTTAAACAGAATCTACATTCAATAAAATGAGTTAAGAAAAACTATTCATATTATTTCGGTTGGATTTCTTTAACGGTTAAAACAATTTTGCACTTTTTAGTAGCAATCAGCAATTATATTAAAAATCAGTGTTAAACATTATTTTATATTTAAGGAGATAAATCTGACTGTTCAGTGTACACTCTGATAGTTGAGCAAGTTGAAATATATCATACTAGATTGTGCATCAATATCTTCCAAAAATAATTTTAAAAAATTACATAAGTTATTTAAACAACTTAGTGTATGTAGAAAAGCAGTTCTGTTAGTGTACTTTTAAGTCTAAATATTCTATGATGTCTGTCTTTTTATTTTTGAGTTTAGTTTTATATAAGTGTAATTGATCTATGATGACAGTAGAATCATCCTTCAATAGGCTATTTTAAATCTCCGCAGAACATCCAAGTGCTCGTACTTAGAATGGTAGGTTTCAAACTGTTATCATCTATATTTTGTAATCCTTGGGATAAATGTCTTTTTAAAATAACTCATAAACAACATACTTTCAAATGATTTAGACCTAAATATTTCCCTAGATTTATCAAAGTTAGACATTAACACCGCTGGATGCCGGCCCAGTGGTCAAGAGGTGAGGAGTTGGCGTGTAAGACCGAAGGTTCTGAGTTTGAGTCCTGCGAGAGGCATAAGTCATGGATGCGCACTGCTGATGAGTTCCATGCGAGGATGAAAGGGCCATCCAATGCTTCCAGGTTTCTAATGGTGATCTAACAATGACTGGTTGATGATTTCAGTGTGCAAAAACACTTATCTATATTTGTGTCGAATTGAAAAACCATAGACATTTGTCTTTTACATGCATTAATACATTCTGGATCAACGTAATTATCTAAGGAACCTGACATGCGTTCTATAATTATCTTCAGAATTAAATGTTTTATTATTTTACCTTTCACTCAGTGATTCTCTCTCGAAAGCAATAAATAATTAGACTAAATGTCTGATCAAATTTCTTACTTACCTTTGGTCGGAATGTTGGTAAGATTTAGGTAGTGATATACATTCATAATGTCGTATTAAAGTGAAGAAAGACTGATGAATATCTTCTGGTAAAGAATATAATTAGCACATTAATACTGTCAAGGGTCCATTAGTCAGTGCATACAATGAAATAAACAGTCTTAGCATAATATTGCTGAATCACAAATTTATACTGTAAAATTAATCGAGCGTTTTGACGGTATTCTTTAGACATTTGATCAGCACCTGACTGAAGAGTGATCCTATTCAAGAATCTTGTACCAGAAGATAATGTCAAGATGTAATATAAAAAATATAACACATATATCACTACGTTTTCGGTGAACTGCCGATTTCACTCAGAAATTATGCTTCAAACCTATTTCGGTTATCTATTCAATTTTCGTGATTCATTTTTAGAATTTAATGTTCGAAGTTATGGTTCAAGTGTCGAGTAAAAAACATAGAGGTTAGATGAACATAATTTTCGCCCAAATACAGATAAAACCTCATTATTTTAATAATAATCAGGTAATGATTCTATAGAATCACCATTCACTGAAAGGAATAAACTGCTATATATCTGTTGATGGAACAGACTAATTTAGTCCTTCAAGATTTCTTATTTTTTTCAAATTATAACAGCATATATAACTTATGTTGTAAACCTCTCACTCTGAAAGTTCAAAGTGAACAACATTTGATAGTAAAAACTATGGAAAGCCTTTTCATAAAATGAAATAGATTAGGTTTTCATTTCGTTTCATGTATATTTTCATCACTAGCAAGTATATTCTGTATTTGATGAGTGGTTATTTTTTCATCATATAATGAAGGCAATTTACATTCAATCCAGATTTTGAGCCATTCTTTTGCATTCCTCCTACAATGAATTATCTGAAACTTTCAATTCCTAAAGTTAATACATTTAAATATAGACATAGAATAGAGGATTAAATCTATAAAAGTTAAGATTATCTTTCTCAATGTTGACAAAAACAATCTTTTTAACTAGTCATAAATTATGGCATCGATATCTGTTTATGAATCAGATTCATGCTTAAATAGATTAAATCATTCTAAATAACCAATTCAAAATAGACGTTGTATGTTGATTTTCTTTCATGTCTTTCATAAAAATTCAGTTTATTCATTTGGGATTATGCACAAACCGTTTACAATCAGTAATGTATATTTTTTTGATAAATAACATGAGATCTATTACCATTTTTACACTCCATCTCAATTTTATTAGTCTTCAATATAGAAGAAATAAGTAGATGAATATTTTGAATGAGAATAAATTGTTTTTACACACTCAACGTGATAATTTAACATTCAGTGTTAAATGTAGACAAAACATCAACACAGATAAATTATGAATTGAATAAAGAAAGTTTCAGTGAATAAACTTTACACTTCATATTGTTTGAATGAATAAATTTTTCATGTTCATTTCAAGAAACTGAATGTCTTACTTTTGATACGTCATTGTCTTGATAAATTGTAGGCTAACATACTCAACAGTTAATATTAAGTTTGCAATGGTTTATTGTTACTTTATTTATTCAGTCAGTTTATTGTATCCAAAGTAGATGATCTATAGTTAAAATGTTTTCGAATCATTACATCACACGATTATTAATGTTTCATTGTTTTTTTTCATATTACAACGTCTCATTATTCATTATTTCTAATAATAAAATATACAGACAAAAACACCTTTAGATACTGGCTTAATGGTCTAGAAATTAAGCATTCTCGCACAAGACTGAAGCTATTGGGTTTGATTCCCGCCAGAAGGAGTCGTTGGTACGCGCTACTAATGAGTCCCATATCAGGAAGAAATAACTGTACAGTGCTTCCAGGTTACTAATGGCGATCCAACACATTAATCAATCCACAGTTTCAATAAAACTCAACAATCTCCACAACCTTATAGTGAAAACCAATTTCATTTAGGTTGTGGTGAATAATTCAATAGTGTAGTGAAAAGTAAATGAAATTCAAAAGAAAATAAATACCAAACAATGGATAAGTGAATATGAATATAAATAAGGAAAGGAAAAGTGTAGGTTGTGGTCAATATTTTATTTATACTCAACGCCTACTTAAGAGTACTGGTAATAAGAAGTGAGTTCAGGTTTATGGGACAATTAATTACTCGAAATGCTTATAAAAATTGTAATGGAATATGTTTGTAACGGTAAGTTTGTATTAGTAACTTTTCAGTCACTTTAGAGAATTATTTTTAACTAAACAGAAATAAATTGTTACGCTTCCAACTAGTTAAACAATCAGGGAACAGAGAGACACCTTACAAACGTTTCCTGAATGTCAAGATTAGTTTTAGTTATGTTGATTGTTTTTACTTCTGTTGTATTCAGTAGGTAACATCGGGAGACATAAAGAATATTTGACGTAACTCAATTTCCTGTCTACAAATTAGGGGGTTTTAAAATTCTTTTTACTCATTCACTCAACCAACGATATTATTGATCCAAAATACGATTACAAACTTATTCCCTGAGTAAAAATTTAATCCAAATAAGATCAAGTAAACTGATAGATGTAGCATTAAGATAACTTTTTTTCCGGTTCCAAAGCAACATGTTTCTTCGTATGAAATGCAAAGACTTTCAAAGTATATCTAACACGAGTCTACGAAAATTTGCTTTTATTAAAGATTGAGTAGTTCAGTCGAAGCTTGAAGAACAAAACAAAGAGAATTATAAATTATTTCCGGGACAAAATAAGGATTTTATATATCTTGGAGATACTCATTTAAATTACAAGGAGGCATTCGTATTTCAGAAAGTTCCAGTTAGTACCATTAGTGAACAGTGATCTTTAACGATAATCATAATTTCAAGACAGTGCATAAATGCCTGTAATTTTAATTCAGTTTACCAAAATTCATGTTCTTTTGGGTTATTATTTGGACGTCATCCGTTGATATTTTTTCATTTCTTTCCCTCTCTCTGGTAGTTATCAAAATTTTATCATAAATCGCGTTATTGTTGTGAATCTTTATAGGTAGCCTGGATTATTCGGAAAAACAATGATTTTACTGTGTATTTTTTCAAATCCACTGTTAGAATTCCATGTTTGTTTGCTTTGTAGACATAACAAATAGACGCAATATGTGGTCATTATACTTTTATGTTTGCAAACGTGTTTATTCTATTTTATTTTTTTTCAATCAAAAAACCAAGTTAAAACTTTCCAAATATATCTAGAACATATGTTGAATAATTTTTTTTTAGTTTATTCCAAACTCTTCATATTGATTAGAGTGATTGAGAAAATCTTAACACGTATTCGGCAAATGGAAAGTAAACAAATAAACGCTAAAATTTTTGCCTCAGGAGTTAGTTAAAAATTGTCCTAATTTGATATTTAATATTAAACATTATTTAGATTATTGGTCACATGTATAGCTGAAGAACACAACTACTGGGATAGTAAAGCCTCGTGTCTCATGGAAAGCATAATACAATTAAACTAAAATCATCAGATTTGGTTCTATAGGCAGATTTCGTTGAAAGTTCTAAAGACTCCTTTTTACTCTAATTTTACAGTTTACAGCGGTATGATGTAAGTGAAATTTTTAGCTGCCATGTTAGGTCTATGGAGCATCAATTCTATAGATTTTAAAAAAATTTATCACAATCTCTCAGTTTGAAAAAATAACTAATGATATATTTCACATTCAAATTGTTTGAACTTTATGTTATTGATCTGAAGGCAAAACTGGTTCATTTAATGAGCCATTAATAAATAACTCTAATTTTCTTGTAGTTACATCCCAAGGAGACAATTAATAGTTTGTACTACATTAAGTAAGTTCACATAATGGTCTTATTAGGTTAGAAATTTTATGGAGAAGAGAATTTAAAATCAACTGTTAACAAATCATTTGTCATATTTAATGACTGTATTTAACCTATTTAAGCTGGTTTAGTACATGGTTAATTAGTTTTAAAAATGAAATGACATAAATCACTTCGGCTAAAAATTTGAAATGAAAAAAAATCAAATTGTTAAAAACAAATTACTGATTTCTACCTGACACAATTTTTAAAAGATTTTATTTTTGTCGAGAAAATTCTAAAAGTAAACATAAAAACCTTAAATAAAAATTGACAACTAACAATATTCATGAGGTAATTAAGTAATTTACCCAAAAGCCATTATCAAAATGGTCAATATCAATGAAACTTACTTTGGATACTGAACGGTAGATCAATATGTAAAGTGTGACCACACATAGAATACATAGAATGTAACTGCAAGTTTGACTTTTTTGTACAATTTGATAAAGAACTGTTTCTATCACTGTATGATTTAATTTTAATATTTCTGTACATTCGAATTTTTCATTTTTATGTAATAAACTCAATGAATAATCAAATGTCCTTGTTGTATTATGATCTGTAGTTGTATTTGTGTAACGATTATTATTATTATAGTTATAAACACTGTTATCATTATTGTTCATATTACTTTCAAAATGAACTTGTTCAACGCGTACAGTAAATGTTGAACTAAATCCAAATATTGAACATATGAAAATTAAAATTAAAATGACTCGTTTTGCTCGTTCTCTTGTCAAAATATTTTTAAATGGATGACATAAACAAAAATATCGATCAAACGCTATACAACTGATTAATAAACTACTGAATGGAATAAAAGTATTATTTATAAAATAATAAAATTTACATAAGAATGTTGAATCAATATTCCATTCAAGGTATTCAATGATCATTGTGCCAGGAATCAATGTAACACAAGCTAAGAAATCAGATATAGCTAAAACAAGAATGAATAATGTAGCAGTTAAACGATCTTGTTTCAAAGCATAAACAATGATCACAAGTGTATTGCCAAATATTCCAACTAGACAGATAATTCCTAGCATTATTAATACTGTTGGGATTTGATTTGATAAATCCGCTGTCATTAAAGACATGAATAATGAGTGTGTGTTTTTAAAAAAAAATAATACTGTATGTTGCGTTTCTTCTTATTAAATGGTATTAGGAAATAAATCTGAGATGTTCATCATTTTGTTTGCGAATATTATTTCTGGAAAATCTGAAACGAAGGGAAAAAAGGGATAAGTGTATTATTCAAGAGTGGTTAATACAAAAATATACAGTGTAGAATAATAAAATATAGTATCAACTTAAACGGTGATACCTACTGAATATGGCTTGTAAAATGTTAGAAACGATGGTTATTATCACTATAGGCTTCAAGTTTTATTCCAAATTACTCATTTCTCAAATTAGAATATTTTATTAGACAATAATATCAGATAATTTAAGAAGCAAGATGTATTTAAAGAAACTCGAAGAAATGAATTATTCATGATGATTTTTTTGTTTCGTATAGTTACGTATTACAAGATGTCACTTAATTTTCAAGTATAAAAGAGTTAAGTTAGAAAATGTAAGCATCATGGTGAGATTGATTCCGTTTAATTACTTTTCTCTCTCTCTCTCGCTTAAACACATAAATATGAGCTTTTCATTTCCGTTTACATTCAACTTAATAATTTACAAAATAATTTTATCTAATCTTATTTGAGTGATCAAAAAAAAATACGGAAATCGATTACTGCTAACTCATACGAAACATTTATATTAGTTATCCATTGGAGATGATAATAGAAACATGGCTACTTCTGAAGATGAGAATTTTGCATTGGATTGTTTTGTTGTGATACTTTCATGGTCATTCTAACTGATTACAATAAATATACATTGCTCTTGTAACTATGTACCTGTTCATATTATCTTGGATGAAAATGGCAGCATTGCGGATTAAATTATTCACTTAAACATACGAAATCATCATGATCATCCTATAAAAACGAATTCTGAAGATTAGAATAGACAGAGAGACAGATACAACGCAGAACTTCGTACATAAGTACATCAGTTCACCGGTGATGTCGCAACCCAATCTTGAAGCAACATTTCGCATTTCAACGGGGAAAACCACATCCTGAACATGGTTGCATTATTGCTTAGGGTAGTCAGAAGACTCTGCATTTTGTCAGCGTCTTCACCAAATAGAACTATGTCATCGGCATATTCTAGGTCAGTAAGCGATTTTTCTGGTATAAAGTCGACTCAGCTCTCTGAGCTAAGATTATGTGTAGATTAGAATTCCATTCGACATATAAATTTTGCCTTTCTCATTTCATGCACTTTAATTTTAGATTTTTGAGGAATTTTTATGAGAATAAAAATGTTACATTGAACAGATTTTATGATGCGTAACTTTATTATTTATCAAAACATCAGCCAATCATTAAATTAGTCAGTCAGTGTAACACTCAAGTGAATTTTTTTATGTGAATCTGTTTATTTATAATCACATAAAGAATAATAATAACATGGAAGATTGTAATAAAACTATGCATTATATTCATTTTTTTTAATGTAAATTCTAAGGTAATTCAGTAGAAAAACTAAAAAAAACAAATGTGTTATGAGTTATGTAATACAACTGAAGCTGTATCATTAATGTTATCATTTATGCCTGTTATTAATTATCATAATAAAAGAATAATATAACTGCTATGTAAATCATTATAATATTATCTAAATGTGTTGTAAACAGAATATGCATAAACAATTACATTTCTATGAAAATATAAGTTTATTACTGAAATAATAATAATATCAAATGATACTATTAGTAATATTTATTCCACGTATCAACCATATACTCTATGAATCATTAAATTACAGAATAATGTGATTTGTTTCATGTAATGATAAGTTAATAAATTTTATCTCATCATATTTGAACTCTATGGGAAAGTCATAAACAAAATATTGCCATTGAAACTAAACATAATCACTGATAAATCACTATTTCGAAGTATTGTGTGCTATAAATTTAAAGAAAACTATGTTTATCATTGTTCCTACTAAATTACCCTCTTGTTATAACATAGGAGTCAGTTTAGCGCAAAAGTCTGCTTTGCACGGTTTCTATTGATGTCAACAGATGTTCTACATTTAAACTTTTTACAGGGGATATAAAAAGAAACAATTTTAAATCTAGTATTATATATATATATATATATATATATATATATATATATATATAAGCAAACGTTCAACTATATTTCTATTCACAGTTTACTGGGACTACTGTAAAAAATTTTACGAGTTTTTTGAGTAAAATTTTGCAACCAGTCACTTATGAAGTGAAAATCCGCTCAATTGTGATTGATAGTATTTAACTATTTAATGAGGTTTCGATTAGTGACATGCTTTAATGTAGGTAAAACAAAGTTTGATTATTGCATGTTTGTTTTGAGTTTTACCTATTACAAAGATTCCACTATGAGCCAGCAGAATATCCAGATTTTCTTCAGCGGTTTACAAACTAGGATAAAAAAAACTCTGCCTATGATAAAATAACAACAATAATACTTCTAAAACAGATTATCCCCTTAGATTTAAATAACCAAAAGCTTGAACTCAAAGAACTGAATTATTACTTATAGTTACAATATTATTTTCAGAATACTGAACTGAAACGTGAAATAACCGCAACGTTTGTAGAATTGAAGTCCGAAACATGAGTAACAAACATTAAAATTATCTTCAGATTAGCAATGAATGTTCTAGCTTTAATGTTTTAAGCATACGTCATCGGTTTGAGCAGTTTAAATGATTATTTTTAAGTTCTTTTGTTTTCGTAAATCAATTGACTACAAATTATCGATAAACCCATTTTGAAGTTTTATCTTTTTTCCACCTAGTTTATAGAATTTATTCATACAAAAATTTATACTACCTACTTAAAAGGAAATGCAAAAATACTATTACTATGATTTAGTCAGCCTTTTTATCGAATACGTTGCTAAAAAATCCCTTTCTCTTTCTGAGCAATTATAAGAACAAAAAAAGCACATGCTCAACAGTTTTATTTCAATAATTTTTATTAATTTGAAAAATTTATTTTACTTACTACTCTTATCATTATACTTTATTTGGTTTTTGTCATGGTTTACAAATATTTATATTATGATAATTTTTTTTTACCGACAAAGTTTCCTTTTTTCTCCATCCTATGAAAAATTATATTCATTTTAAGAAAGGAAATATTTCAATCAAACAATAGTAAATATTTCCTTTCTCTAAAAAAACCGTTTTCTTTATTGTATTGAATATACTACTGAAAAAATGAAAAAAACAAAACAAAACAGAATGAAATAATTTTGATTAATTTCAGAACTAAACTTCATCTGTTGTCTATCGTTAATTCATATAACCATTGATTATTCAGTTTAAGTAAATCTGAAAATTTTATCTATAGGGAGTTCATTTCAAACATTGTCATTGTTGGAATGTATGCATTTGTACAGAAAATTAATGAACTAGTTCGCTACACATAATCTTAGCTCAGAGAGTCGTATGCTCACAATGAAAATACAGTTTAAATTCTATATCACATTGACTATTCATTAACCAGATGGAATGTGAATAAACAAGTAACTAGGCTTAGTTTTTCACTCTTTGAATTTCTAAATATTCCATGAGAAGATTGCAAAATTCCTCTCTCTATTACTAAAATGTTAATACCTTTTTTTTAAAAAAAACAGAGATGATTGGTATCTAGAAGTGAAATTCACTGATCAATTATAGTCGCAGACATTAAAACAAGTTTAGTATTATTACTAACCTGCCACTTACAAGACACCTAGTTCAAACACAAATATGCAGTTATGCAACTCCATTTAAACCCACATAAAATGAATGAAAGTACATTTAATTAATGTACTAGACTGATATTCATGAAGAATGAAATTTATGATCCTGGTAACATTTCCATTCTTATGTAACAGACATTAACCTTTTTACAATTAGCCAACATCAAAATAAAACAATAAAATAATAATAATAATAATGGATACGAAGAAATTCAACCTGAAATAATTACTTTTTACCCAAATGAATGCACCGTCCTTTGGTATAATTTATTAAAGACAGAAAGAAAAGATTTATTGAATAAATAGAAAATTTTTTACCATTATTTATCGTTTATGAGATATTTTCATTTAATAATGTGATTTTTTCTTTGCTTAAAACACGTATGATCGAATCTTCTTGTTGATTATTCTCTCATGAATACAATTGAATAGGAAGAGGTTAGTTTGTAAATTAACAATCCATTGTCGAGTATCTCAATATAAATGTATATATTTTGGCTAGATTCAGAAGTGTTTGCCAGTCGTTATTAAATTGAGAAAAGAATAAAAACGAGGATGTAAAAATACATTACATCTTCAAACATTATTCAACTGAGATGATATAACACTTGAGCCAGTCTCACGTTATGCAAATGTTAAATTTATTCCTAATAAAACAGAGTACAATGATTTCCAGATTTCTAGGTTTTTACCCTGCTGTTGAAGTTTCAGGATATTTAATTTGTCTACTGTATTCTGATAAAATATGAATGTAAGTTAAATAGTCATTAACTACTTTACGTGAGATTAACATTTAAGTGTGGAATCTGTTATGCGCATAAATACATTCTTTCTATAACCGCATTCAGATCTGCTAGATAATATTTTAAAAACCATTAGTGGCTGACAAAATGGCAAGAAATTAAGAGTATAAACCTTATTGTGTTCCTTTTCTGATTGATTTTTTTCGAATCTTTTGTTTCATTTCTATATGTTCAATTTTATTATCTATAATGAGTTTTTCAATATTAGTTACATAGTTTTTGATATATTAGCTTACGACTTATTGTTATATCGACTCATACTTATTTCAGGTTCCTTATTATGCACAAAACAACGAATTCATTTTCATTTTCTGGAAAGAAGCATTACTTCGCTGTTTTATTCTTAACAGGTAAAAATAGATATGGTACCTAATTTAATTTGAAATACGCGTTTTCTGTTAATCTTATTATAATATTCAAATGTAATGAACAAGTTAGAAAAAAAGTAGATGATGAAAATCCAGAAAGTCAGTTGAACTGTCTGATTAGAGTAAATTGGTATAGAAAAAAATCTCTTAGAATAATATTTGATTTCCACACGGTAAACTGACAACT